CATCAAATACATTTTTTTTAGATTTCATACTTCTTTTCCATCAGATTTCATCTCTTTAAAATTAAAGCTCATATCAAACTTTCAAATTTCGATGATGTGTGTACATAGGACTCACACCAAGGGGAAACAATTGAGTCACTGTAGCCTTCCACCATCTGGTTTAGAAACAGGATCCACACTCAGTTGAGGGCAGGGGCCACTCCCCCTCTTCCTTGAGCTGTGTGGTGTCACTCTGCAGCCCAAAGCTCACACTCCAGTATTTGGAGATCAAGGAACGAGCATTGTCTCTGGACATTCTCCTGCAGGTGGCCTCTTAAACAGACCATCTACTGAACACTCTGCTGGGGCCCCAGAGGCCACCATTGCCTAGTGTCCATTTCTGTCTGGCACCCAGGACACCCACTGTCTCTCAGCAAACCCTGCTAAGTGGTGTCCAGCCTCCTTACTCACTGGCCCTCCTCCTCCCCCACCTGCACACTCCTCCTTTGCACCATCTCTCGGGCTGTCCTCCCTGCATGGACCCACCTGACACTCTTTAGAGTCCCGCCATGTTTCTCAAGCTTTCCCGGACACCTTCTGTCCAACTCCATTCCCTTCCATCATTTGTACGTCACACTTAAACCTGTGGGTGAACACATCTCTGAGCTTCCCTTATTCCTTGGCCACAGACTGCAGAATCCAATGGAAAAGAGGAGGAAGCTCACAGGCTGGGGCAGCTGCCAATCTTCCTGTGCCTTTACTGCCTCCTTGTGGTGGATTGCATGCAGTACATGGCTCCTGTGTGTGGGAGCTCTAACTGCCACCAGCAACTCTGTATCTAGATTGAGCTGGTAAGGGTTGTGGGAGGGTCTTTGTTATCCAGAGGATTCTATGGCCTTATGCTTGTCAGGCTAGATGCACAAACCAGGTCACTCTCCTTTCTTTCCACTCACCCTGGTTAGACCTTGGGATTCTGCTTTCCCCTGAGGAAATGGACCAGTGAATTCAATGAGGGATTTAAGTTGGCAGAAATCAAGATTGAAGATCCTTTCTCCTACCCCACCATAGCCTTTCCTTCTGAGCTAATGGAACAGGCTTGTAGAAGGTGTTCAGTTTACCCAGGGCTCACGGACACTCACTGTGGACAAGCTGCCTGGGGTGTATGAGCTGCAGTCCTCAGCTGCCCACAACCTGGGGGCCAGGTGAGAGCTCTTACTTGTGTCCTTGTGGGTGGAGCCTGAGCATCTCCTCTCCCTCTTATAGAGTGAATGCTGAAGCTACATCCTTAGTGAGTGTCCTCTCAAAGAACTGATGGATGAGGAGTCAAAACAGAAACATGTAGCCTCTTGTGGCTAGAAATCGTCCTTGGAATTTACTTTTACTCCCAGAAACAGGTGACTCTTCCTTTTATACCATCGAACACTGTCCAGTGAGCCGAACTGGGGCTCTCTCGGCCTGGCAGGGCAAAGGAAGCAGAACTGGCTGACATAGGCAGAGGGTCCACTTCCAGATGACGCCTTGCTAATGTGAAACCAAGTGGGGCTTCCTGGGCTATAAATGGCCTGCTTGAAAATGGTGCTTGTTTCTCTCTCCTGATACTGCAGTAACCAGGAAAACACTCTTAGGTTTGGTTTGCTGTATAGAACTTCAGCATGGTCTTGTCTCCTGATCCTTGTACAGGAGCTCAGTCCCAATCAATGTCATCCTATGAACATTAATTAATGTGGGGTGAGAAAGAAATATTGATGCTGGATGAGACTTTCATGTTGTCTGTGATACTAAAAGGCAGGTGAGTTACTACCCAGTTGTGACAAGAGACAGTTTTCTTTTCTCTATACTGTGTCCCCACACCTCCCTCAGGTTTATGTTGTCTGGTTGAGCAGACAGGGCTGTAGCTGAAGTTTTCCTGTTTCCTGGCCTGCAGGCAGTTAGTGCAAATCTCTCCCACTAGCCTCCCCCAAGTAAACACCCAGAGACTTATATTACTTATAAACTGTATGGCCATGGCAGCCTTCTTGCTATCTGTTCTTATATCTTAAATTAACCCATTTTCATAAATCTATACCTTGCCACCTAGCTTGTGGCTTACCGGTGTCTTACATCATGCTTCTCCTCACGGTGGCTGGCCACATCTGCTCGCCTCAGCCTTCCACCTGCCAGAATTCTCCTCTTCCTTGTCCCACCTACACTATCCTTCCTGCCTGGCTACTGGCCAATCAGCGTTTCATTTATCAATCAATCATAGCAACATATATTTACAGCATACAGGACATCCCACAGCACAGGGCCTCGTTCAACTGTGGGTTCTATAGTCAGCTACTGACTCTTATCTTGTAAGGCCTCAAACCTGTCCTGATTGGCTTCCTCTGCTCAGGGAAGCTGAGGGATGAGAGGGAGGGAGGGGAAGGAAAGATGCTAAGGCTATAGAAGGATATGTGTAGCTAGAGTTTTCCAGTCCTGCCTGGCCCATGGTCAGGACAAATCTCTCTCACCTGCCAGTCCCACAGCCACTCAGACCCAACCAAGTAAACACACAGAAACTTATATTGCTTATAAACTGTATGGCCGCAGCAGGCTTCTTGTTATCTAGTTATATCTTAAATTAACCCATTTCTATTAATCTATAAGTTGCCACATGCTTGTGGCTTACCGGTATCTTTTACATGTTGCTTGTCATGGCAGTGGCTGGCAGCGTCTCTCTGCCTCAGCCTTCCACTTCCCTGAATTCTCTCTCTCCTTGTCCCACCTATACTTCCTGCCTGGCTGCTGGCCAATCAGTGTTTTATTTATTAACCGATCAGAACAACATATTTGACAAACAGAACATCCCACAGCACTTCTGCCCCCCCCTTTTTTTTAAAGGAAGGTTTTAACTTTCACATAGTAAAATTACAGATAACAAAACAATTATCAAGCAAGAATTACAGTTATAATATCTAGTTTATTTATAATATCTAATCTATTGGGCAAATTTAAAGAAGATATCCTATCTATCCTATATTTGTGAGTCTAAGGTTTCACATCTAACTTATCTATTATCATAACTAGGGAAAATTATACCTATCTAGTCTTCAGCTACAGCAAAGACCTCAGAAGGATATAATATTACCTGAAAATTGGGAAAAGGATGCAAGCAACTTTCAGGAGTCTTGCAAGAGTAGACAGAGACAACTGGCAGCCTGGACAGTCACCTAATGTTCCTTTGTAAAGTTGGGGCATCTGTGTTCAGCCCACAGACCAAGATTCTCTCAGTCATTTCTCTCTGTGTCCTATAGAATGTCTGGCAGTTTCTTCTGTGAAGCAGGAACCTGAAGGACTATTTCACCAAGCAAAGTTTAGTGGTCACCTTCCTATTGGTCCTGCATGTCCAGTCGATCAAGCAGTCCAGGCAAGAACAGTTTCTTGCCCAAATGGCTATTTTTGTCATGGTGAAAATAAACTCCATATAGAGTGTCTTTGACGCCCATCCTCCTCTCTGAAGTAAATCCGGTGCTGCCAGGAGCAGACATGTCTCTTTGTCCAGAAAGTCTAAATTTTTAAAACATTTTAAATGCCATATTCTGTAGGTCTTTGAAGTGTTTGAAGATTACCTACCTAACTGAATTATATCTATATATACCTAGAAAACATGACTATAAGTTTGACTATCATAGAAGACTAATTATTAATCTGTATTTCTTAGTTATCCATTACAATTTAAATGAGTTACAAAAACATAATGCCTCAAACGAGAGTAGAAATATATATACAGTATAACAAATTAAGTTTAAACTTGTATCAATAAACTAAAATCTCTAGCAATGTGAAACATTTTTAAACAATTTGCTCTTTAAAAGTAGATTCAATAATCTACTCTTTCATCCTATCATATCTATATCATATCCCGTTTTTTCTTTAGAAAGAGATCATATTTATAATTAACCTGATTTAAATAAAAATATTGGTTTTTCTCAGTCCCACACCAGAGGGCTCTTCTGATATGGGACAAAGGAACCTCTTAACCTTTTCTTTTAGCAATATGCCTGGGTTTAGAGAAGGAGTGAGCCAATTCCATCTCCAAAGCCAGGTTGGTATATTTGGGAATTTGGGCGTAGCTTCTCTTACTACTTCCTGCTGGAGGGGGCGCTGTATCTTATGGGGACACAAAGAAAATTTTAGGATTATGGGGTAGTCCATGAGGGTGTATCATCTGAGCCAGTTGCCTGAAACCGTTCCGGATGTTGGATCATTTGGGCCATGGTATCATCGGAGACCTTTCCGGGGGTCTTGGTTGGTCAAACCTGATGTATCTTAATCTGGAACAAATCCATAGCCTCTGGCTTTCTGTGGAAACAAAAGCAGAGCCTCCTTTCCAAAGCAACATATCCTTACATCCAAATTTTGAAGTCAAGGTACCTTTAAAATGTACATATTAGTTTAACTCAGCAGCCTTTACAATCAAATGTCTCTCTGCAGTTAAAAATCCCAAAGACAGCATAATCGAGATTCTCTGTGTGATCTCTATCTTTACGTGGCTTATATTTTATATTACCTTTAGTGTCTCTTTAAAGACCTTATTTTAAAACTTTTTATTTCTTTAATATAGCTGTCTATATTCCTTTCTTTTCTCTTCCAAGCCCACGTACATTTTTATACATATTGTAAACCATTTAGAGGTGCATTTCATTTGAGTCTGTCTTATTGTGAATCAATTGTTTTAAACTGTAGCAATTGTAAGACCTAAACGGCTGCTGTGAATGCTGGCTCCGCTCACCTCAGCTTCCCAACATGGTGGTGGTACGTTTTCCGCCAGCTCTGGGAGACATCAATTCTCAGAAACAGTGGTTTATGCTTCTATCATAGCAGCGTGTAGCCCAGAAACCTCTTTTTTTTTTTTTTAACTAGCAAAAACTATATCCAACACACAGCATAGTGGGCAGCTTGGAGACATCTCAGTGTAACATAGGGTAGGTCAAGCCTGCAGGAACGCCACAGACCCACTATAGAGTAGCTCAAACCTGCAGGCTGCCACTAACTTGAGAGAGACAAGTAGGAAGCTGTTTTTTTGCTCCATTTTAGAATCTTTTTTTTTCTCAGGTTTTAAGTGGAAACTCTTGCCAACCCGTTGGGTGCCATTTGTAGGTAGAGTTCTCCAGTCCTGCATGGCCCATGGTCAGGACAAATCTCTCTCACCCGCCAGTCCCACAGCCACTCAGACCCAACCGAGTAAACACACAGAAACTTATATTGCTTATATACTGTATGGCCACAGCAGGCTTCTTGTTATCTAGTTCTTATATCTTAAATTAACCCACTTCTATTAATCTATAAGTTGCCACATGGCTTGTGGCTTATGGGTATCTTTTGCATGTTGCTTGTCATGGCGGTGGCTGGCAGCATGTTTTATTTATTAACCAATCAGAGCAACACATTTGACACACAGAACATCCCACAGCAGATATAGCTTTAAGAGATTGGGAAATGGAGGAAAAGAGACGGAGAGGCAGCTACATTTAGAGGTAGGGATAGCAGACTTTCACATCATAGACTCAGGAGGAGGTACATTTGGGGGAATTCATTACAAGGAGACTCTCAGATCATCTATGATGCCCAGGGCCATTTGTCACCGTGCTCACAGTCTCCTGGGTAGCTCTCAAGGCTTGTCCTGGTTCTAGAGAGCCCCATGTATAGTTGGTAGGAAGGGTAAGAAGGACGGAGACCAAGGGAGGCAAGACTCTGCCCTGGAAGAACAGATTATGTTCAAGGGCTGTGCTGTACCCACTGACAACCAGTGTGAGCTCCACCATTCAGTGGGAGGAAGTGGGTTTGAATTTCCTAAGACCATGAGCAAGATACTGTCTGTGACCTGGTGATGCTTAACTGAGGCAATCCAGGTCAGTCATCTAGTCCATGCTAGGGCCCACCTCTGTGAGAGTGACATTCTGTTTCTGTTCTCACTATGGCCTTAATTGGCTATAGAAAGGAAAGCTGGAATCAAGACTCCCCAGACCAACCTTCTCTGGACTAGACATGAAACCTTTTTATTGTTCTTTCTTTGAGCTTCATGAAGCAATGGGAATTTTCTCAGACAAGCAATGCTTTGGAACTGTGAGAGGAGAAATGGAAATACTGATGAATTTCTAAGTTACAGGAGGCTCTGGGCAGTTCACCACTAGAAACTGAGCCTTTATTCATAGCAGCTGAGGCACAGCCTGTGTGTCTCTGGGCAAGTGCTAAGGGCAAAAGTTTGGGACTGGGTCAGTGCCTGGCAAGGCCTCGGTGACCTGAAGACAAGTTGGCCAGTGTGTCAAAGGGAAGTGTAAGAGTTGGGTTGTATCTTAGACTCTTCTGGAGTCCCTGCCATGATCACATCACTGAGTCTTTGTGTTCAGTTTTCCCTTGTGTTGCTCCACTAGTGACCCAATCCACTGAGAAGTTTTCTGCCTGGCTTCCTCCCAGCTGACAGGTGGCTCATAGCCCAGATCTCGCTGAGCTTTCTTGTAGGAGAAGGTGAACACACTATTTGTTACTGTGACCAAAAAGCGGTTAAAAGGAGGCTGGTAGTTGTAGATTGGACGCAGCAGGAAACTCACAGTTTCCAATAGGAAGGCAAGCCAGTAGAGCATGGGCAGAGGAAGGCTCCAACTGGAATCAAGGCGGAGGCCCCAGTCCTTGCTCAGGACATAATGTAAATCAACAAAGCTTTGGTGAGGGGTGTCATCTGAGATGTAGTAGAACTGACCTTGGATATTTGGTGACTTCTTGGGGTCTCGTAGGCCCCTGGCTGCCAGAATGTGTGCCCAGGCTGCATTAGTCACAAACACTGGGCTGATCACAGAGAATTTGCCAAAACTGTCAAGAATGCCATTGTTCTTGAGTGCTCTATTCACTGCATATGAGGTGTATTGGCTCCCTTCCCCATAGATGAGTGGGATTCTTAAGGCACAAGTACGCAAAGTGCCACCATCTTTCAGGCTGCTCCCATTGGCTGCCAGCACTGCTTTCTCAGCCATCTTTTTGCTGTATGGGTAGGGATTAGACCATCTGCTTTCATGATGGTCTTCCTCGCAGCCATTCTGGATGACCTCCTTGTAGGAGTTTGGTCCAGCCACAGACACTGAGCTGCTGTAGATGAAGACCGGGACACTGGCTTCCACACAAGCATCCAACAGGAGCTGAGTACCTGAGCATGGGGAGTTCACCGTTACTGGTAGGAAAGTAGCTCAAGGGTCCACTGTGGAGTCAGAGTCAACCCCACCTCAACCCCAATGGAAGGGCTCCTACAGATCTAAATACATTCTTACCTGATCCTGACTCAAACTGCCATTCTATAGCCACAGAATAACCCCCAAATTAAAAGAGGCGACATTTAGATTCTGAAAAACAGGGATTTCTAGGTTTCTGAATTTATAGAGCTCTCTCTTTCCTTTTCTCTGTCTCTCCCCATCTCTCTATCTCTGTCTTTTTCTCTCTCTCTCTGTTTGAATATAATTATTCTTCTTTTCAGTGTTGGGATCACACCTAGGGTCTTCCACATGGTAGATAAGGCCCCTCCCACTGAACCTCTGTCCTGGTTAGCTTTCTGTTGCTGTGATAACCACCAGGACCAAAGGAACGTGGGGGAGGGAACAGTTTATAAGGCTTCTATGTTCCCATCGCAGTGTCTCACTGAGGAAAGTCACCCAGGAACAAAGGCAGAGACCATGGAGGAATGTTTTTTACTGCTTTGTTTCCCATGTGCTCAGCTTGTTTACCTGTATAACTCAGGACCACCTGCCTAGGGGTGACACACCCCACAGTAAGCCAGGCCCTCCCATATCCATCACTGATCCAGAAAATAACCCACAGATATAACCCCTGGCCAATCTGATGGGAGCAATTTCTTAGCTGAGGTTCCCTCTCTACAGGTGACTCCTGTGAATCAGAAAAACAGCATTTTTATTCTGGAAAGTACTTCCCTAGATTTTTATTCTGGGAAATTATTTCTTTATGTTTTCTAGAAACTGACATCAAGAAATTCCCATTATTTTGAAGATGTTGCTCAGTTATTGAGCCTTTGCCTTTTGAGTAGGATTGATCCCTGAGACAACGGCAACAACAAAAATTCAAAGAGGCTCCTCCTCCAAAGAAAAGCAAAGAGTTACTTATTTTTATGTATTTCATTTCACTAGAGGAGGGCTGTTAATTAATCCAAAAATTCAAGTTACCATATTCTCAGAAGTAGTTCAGAATTACAGCATGCCCACTCAGGTACAACGAAGAGGCATTATGTATTTTTATTTTATTTTATCTTATTTTTAGGATGGAGTCTTATTCCTATGTAGTCCAGACTGGGTTCTAAGGTATGATCTTCCTGACTCAGCCTCCTGAGTGCTAGGATTACAGATGGGCACCACTCCATCTGGGCATGCAATATACACTCTTTATAGTATTAAAGTTTAGTTTAGTTTAGTATTAAACTAATTTTTTTCTCATTTAGTTAAGACTAACACAGAACAGAGGATCTGAGTATTTACCCAAAAATGTGCAGGGCAGGGTATGAGGGAAGTAGCTAGGTAGAAGTAATAGGGATCCTTTTGAGTTGATAATGGCCATTCCCAAATAATTAGTTGATTTGGAAAAGCAGCCCAAGTCACTAAATTTGGAGGTCACATGGAGGATACATGCCAGATGGGACCTTGGAAAACAGTGATACTAAGAAGATTGGCTTTTGGTGGGGAATCAGAGTGATCATATTATATAGTAAAGTCCTTTGTTAAAGTATATTGCAAATCTACTTTCCAAGGCACTAACCATTTAAGGATGGAGATATGAAGAAGAGACTCTAGGACCAGTCTTCAAGAGTGGACTAACACTGATCTGAAGAGATGACCTTGTAAAAATTGGAAAACCATTGCTGTTTAGAAAACAAGTGCTGGATCATTCTTTCTGGCAGACCCCTGTGGAGTGGTTTTGATGGCTCTCTACTGAGGAAAGGTCAGGGATTGGTCCAGAGAGGCAGTGTGTAGAAGCCCAGCAGGGAGATGGGTTCCCACATTTCACCTGAGTGTACTCTTGAGGAGAGAGGGATAAGAGATATTAGATAGAAGGATTGAGGAGATGGAAACCAAAAGATACACAGGATAGCCTTGGGTTGGCCTGGAACATTATTCAACCCCACCTCCTGTCTCTTCTAAGGGGCGATTTATAGGAGTACCAAGGGTGGAGCAAAAGACCTCCTCCTAGCTCAGCCAAGTACAGACCCTTTCCAATCACCTGGTCACCACACACGGGGTCGAACAATCCTCTAATGCAGCTCTGTCGGGTAAAGCATGCTCAGAAATCACTAGGAAACCTTGATGAGCTTCAACAACTCCACTTTCTTTATATAATAATGGGCTTCCCAGGTCCCTCAGATAGAAAGTGCCTGTCTTAGGTCATTCTTGATTAATTTTACATACACAGATTCAGGAAGCTATCAAGAAGAAAGTGACCCATCTTTGGTTACCAGCCCTGGCAGGAGGGGGTACAGAGCCTAACTTAACTCTGGCCCAGGTCCCTACTAACATCTTGCAAACATCCACAGAGATCTCCATAGCTGCCACACCTCCTAGTAAAGGAGTAGAGGATAAAAAAGATGGAATATCCCTTTTGGAATAGGTCTAAGGTGATGACAGCAGTCTTAGCTGCACCAAGTCTCTTTTCTAAATCAATACTCTTTCCTAGCAAATGTTCAATAAAAGTTTCAAGAGACTATTTTGATTCCCAGGAAAAAAACAGCCATTTCAAAGCTCTTTTAGTATTCACTCACGTAAACAAAACCATGCCAATTATAAAGACACTTACAAACTAACTTGATTGTGGGAGGCCTACCCCTTTCTAAACAAAAACAGAAGGAGTGGAAACATCTAGGAAGAAGACAGAAAAGCTCCCCTAATTATGATACCTTTTTGCTTAAGTTTTCCAGGGGCCACTGAGACCATAAAATTATATTTTGAGCTATCATAAAAAGTGTTCAAATATATCTGAAGGCAAAAGAGTAACAAAAGCAATTCTAGTATGAACTTCAAACTTCTTATAAATCACTACAAACTTCTTATAAACTTACTTTCAACATTTACACTTTTTACATTAAACATTCATACTTCTTACATTAAACATTTTATACTTTTTACATTCAACATTTATACTTTTTACATTCAATATTTATACTTTCACATTCAATATTTACATTTTTACATGCTTAATTCAAAAGGAAACTCTATAGAACTATCTTACAAACTTATCTAGAAGAATCTCTTAACCGATCTAACATATTCAAAATCAAAATCTATTAGCAAACATCTAGAAGAGATTTCTTAACAGAACTATAATAAGACAGGAAGTATGCAGTTACTTCCTGTTCCGAGTTAATAGTCAGCTTTGATATCATTCTGAGAGTTTTCCTGACAGTTTGAAGTCAGAGCCTAATTCATTAGTGGCTGTAAGCTTGACTGAGGGTAAAATTCCCTTTTCTTAATTTTTTTTTATTTATTTTTTATTTATTTTTTTTTATTTTTTAGGTTTTTCGAGACAGGATTTCTCTGTGCAGCTTTGCGCCTTTCCTGGATCTCGCTCATCTAGACCAGGCTGGCCTTGAACTCACAAAGATCCGCCTGCCTCTGCCTCCCAAGTGCTGGGATTAAAGGCGTGCGCCACCACCGCCCGGCCCTTTTCTTAATTTTTTAAAGCTGCTTTTTAACATTATCATGAGCGATTCAATGATGCCAATGTTTCTCTCTTGCATTTCAAGCACAACACAAGAGTCTTATTTTTTTTATTTGCCCGAAAGTTTTTTCTTTCTTCAGACCCAAAGCAATTTCCCAGTATATGGACCTCTTTCCCTAGTTTTCTAAAGGGTTTCAAAGTGACTTGTTGACAAACAGTGTCAGCACTTTAATTGCTTCCTGACAGGCAACTGTTCACCTGTTTCTAGTTCTTGAGAGGCAAGCTAACAAAGCTTGTGGAAAAAAATAGCATTTTGAGCTGGAAAAACACTGATAAAACAAGAGTTTTGGGGCAGTGCAGTACCAGTATCTCTTTTACAGACTTCATTTCCCAAACTACCTTTCTCTATATTGTCACACTGTTACAAACCACTTTATGGACTACATCTCCCAAGCTGCCATTTTATATATCTTCATCCTGTTACAAATGAACTTCGTTTCCCCTGCTGCTTTTCTGGTCTACCACAGTCCGGTTTCCATTTACAGGGTTTGTGTTCATACTGAAAGCCAAGATCAGGGGAACTTTTGGACACAGGAGGTTTCTGTTCTCCCTGAGCTGCTGGCATTGACAGGTGTACTTCCTTCACCTAACATTGTCTCCAGAGTGGTCCACACCTGTCGACAGGTGCACACTCAGACAGGCATTTCAGTAACCTTTTGCCCACACCCCACCTCACTTTACTGGATCGGTGAAAAAGTAAAGAGAGTACTTGAAAATAGAGCCTTTTTAGCAAGATTTTCCCCCCAATAGAGAAAGAAACGAAAGAACTTTCTGAGAGATGTTCTTTTCACGGCCTTGGGTGCTGCATAGCTCCACCTACTGTTGGGGCAGGTAGTCAAGCAGGCCACTCTCCTGTTCCCACTGGCCTTGTTTTTATGCAAATTTTGCCTTAGCTCTTCCCATGCTGCCTTTATAGCTGCTGAGAACTTAGACCCTGCTTTTTGATGCCAGCAGCTTTTTCCCTGGGTCCTGCTCTGCCTTTGCTTGGGCTCCATCCTTCAGTGGGGAAGCTGACCCACTCAGATCTCTGCCTGTACTCTCCAAAGAATGGATTGCTAGGCTCTAGCCACAGGGGATTTTGGCGAGGGTCTAAAGTATCTGCTGTTTTTCTAATTTCGACTGGAAGGGGAGATAGGACTAGCAGAGAGGATTTGCCCTGTTCCAAGTGGTTGTTTGTTTTTTCTAGAGCAATTACAGGTGATTTTCTCATACTGATAGATGTTATTTCCAGGTGATTTAATTTTTGCCATTTTAGAAAGAGAAAAAAAAAAATCTGAGAAGACCCGAAGAGCTTCTAGTATTTCAGAGAGAGATTACTAAGTTTTTTCCCAAGAAAGCATTCCGTTTTTGAGAGAAAGATTACTAAATTTTCCCCAAGACTTCTGTTCCCTAAACTTGGCTTCACGGCTAAGGAAACTAATTCTGGTGGTTTGATGTCATCATATAGTAACAGTGTCAGTGGAGTGAAGAGTTTTATGTCATCTTAATCTGCCTCAGGGAAAGTCCTTTCCTCTGCCACTCAGGACAAAATCTAAACTGTTCACAAGCCAAATCTTCCACAGGAATCTTTGTCTGCCCATTTTTCTGATCTTTGGGGATCAGAAATCAGAGGAAAATCTCTGATTTCCTCCCCAGGAGTTTGCATTCATAGTCCCATAGTTGGAAAAATCAAGGAGATAGTTCCTCTATCTTGTTGCTTATCTTATCCTAAGTTTTTTTCTACACAATATTCCTACATTTTACCTTATATTTTTCCTTAATTTTTATAGATGGAAATTAAGAGAGAGAGGAAAAGAAAGTAATCTAGATAGAGAGAAATATACATTGCAGCCTCACTCACTTTTAACTTCAGCATTAAGCCACCTAATTTTCACTCTTTAGAATCAAATACCGTCACCTTTATTTTTAATTCCTTACCGGGCATGCCCCCTTACACCTGAGACACCTCCACTCTCCTTTTGCCAAGTCCCCTATTCCAGTCCTGGCACCATTTGTGGGAGCCCAGCTGGGAGACTGGCTCCATATTTTATGACAGATTACTCTTGAGTAGTGAGGAATAAGAGATATTAGATAGAAGGATAGAGGAGATGGAAACATAGAAACACAGGATAGCCTCAAGAGGGACTGTATCATATACTACCTCCTCCTGTCCCTTCTAAAAGGCTAGGTAGAGGAAACCCAAGGGGTGGAGCAAAAGACCTCCCCCTAGCTCAGTCAAGTGCAGACCCTTTTCAATCACCTGGTAACCATGCACGTGGTCAAGCAATTCTGTAATGCAGTCCTGCTGGGTGAAGCAAACTCAGATCTCACTAGGAAAACTTTGTGGGCATTCACGGCAGTGGGTGGGTGGACATCAAACATTTGGAGATGGAGTCCACTCTCTTTGGCATGGAGGGGCAGGAGAACTTCCTGGCTGTTGAAGAGTCCTGGGTGTGGCTTTATGTCTTTTCTCTCCTTGTGACTACTTGTGGGGCCTCTGTTCTCTCCTCTCTCAGCCCAATCTCTTCTTCTAAACATCAAGGACAACCGCCCTGAGTTCTGCTAGCTGGGCTGACAAGCAGAGGCATCTGACAGACCCAGAGCACAGCAGGTGTTCCATGGCTGCCACTTCCCTTCCTGTCCTCATGCTATTTGACCATTCTGATTTTCCACTCTCTCCATATCCTCCAGAGGCACTGTACCTTTCAGGTTGATATCCAGGACGGTCTGTCTGGGAATGGCACCCAAGATGTCAAGGCTGGCAGCGGTGTGGATGACAACAGAGACGCCCTGGCAGGCTCTCCTCAGGCACTGGGCATCCAGAATGTCTCCCTTCAGCACTGTGACCTTGGCTTTTGTCTGCAGCTCTGAGGAACACAAGACAGGTCACTGGGAAGCTTTCTGCACAGGATGGAAGTTTCCTGACACAGTATCTGTGATCTAGGCCTTTAAGGGCACTCAGAGTGAGGGAATCCTGGCAAGGAGGCCTTTGTACTGAAGGAATAATAAATGCTCAATAATCAGAATGTGTCATTTGTAGGGAAGGAGGAAGCATCTGTGTCTACCCCTCCCTTTGTAGAAAAGGAATCTGAGCAGTGAGATATGATTTGTGCTTTGCACATAAAAGCAGAGTTATGGGAATTCATACAGTGATTAAAGCAACCAGAGATGGGATGGTCGTCCAATGTGAAGAGGGGGAATTAGGATTTAATTGATAGAGGACGGGGAATCACTTGTGGATTCAGACTGAAGGAGAAACAGAGGCAGAGTCCTGCCCTGGAAAGCTTTAACAGTGCTCTCAGGTTGCTAATGGACAGGCATGAAGACATAAGAGTAACCTGGGCAAGCAACAGGTTAATCAGATTGTGTCCTCCAGAGTTCCAGTGAGGAGGACCCAGAAGAGGGAGACACGAAGATGGAAAACTGAGCTCTGCCCCTGACAGGTCTTGATAGGTTCTGAGTCTGGGCTGAGCACAAATGAAGAGTGAGCTCAATTACAAAGAGGCAACTGGAGCCCCAGGGAGAGAACTCAGAACGGGCTCCTGTGATGGGTTTAGCTGAGCATTTCTTATTGGACAGATACATTGTAAATGAGGCCACACCCAAGGGACCATACTTCATCCAGGGGCAATGGATAGCTTCAGGTTCCTCTCAAATTTATAGAATAATACTAGCTAGCAATCACAATGTCACCCATATTAGTTCACAAAATTGATGGTGTGGCAAATGCAGCCTGTATCAATACCCCACACTGGCTCAAACTTCATAATTTACACATGACTTTCTCAGTTTGCTATCTCCTTTCCCAGCTATGTGTGGTGGTATTGTGTTCCCCAAAATATTGTGTATCCTAATAAACTTATCTGGGGTCAGAGAACAGAAAAGCCACGATATTAAACATAGAGGTTAGGCAGTGGTAGAACATGCCTTTAATCCTAGCATTCCAGCGACAGAAATTCCTCTGGATCTCTGTGAGTTCAAGGCCGCATTGGAAACAGCCAGGCATGGTGACTCACGCCTTTAATCCCAGAAAGCAGCCTTTAATCCCAGGGAGTGGTGGTAGAAAGCAGAAAGGTTTATAAGGCTTTGAGGACCAGAAACTAGAAGCATTTTGGCTGGTTAAGCATTCAGGCTTCTAGCAGCAGTTCAGCTGAGAGCCATTCGGATGAGGACACAGAAGCTTCCAGTCAGAGGAAACAGGACCAGCCGAGAAGTTTGCAAGGTGAGATAGCTGTGACTTGTTCTGTCTCTCTGATCATCCAGTGTTCACCCCAATAACTGGTTTCAGGTTTGATTTTATTAATAAGAACTTTTATGATTCACGATACAGCTATGTCATGAACTTAGGATTCTAGTGTCCTTGGTATATGTTGGGGAAAGTGCAGAAAGCTCCAGGGACATGTCTAAGGACAAACATCATTCTAGTGAAGGCTCTATGTTCCTCTGCCTCCATCCAATCCATGCCCACTTCTCTATGCACTCTAAGATCAAGACCCATTTGAAATAAACTCTTTTGAGACAATCAGGTCAACTAAATATGCAATGAATGCCAAAGAATACTTTGATAGAGGCAGAAGTAGAAATCGATAGTTGGAGAAATCCTTCTTGGGACAGATTACAACCTCCCCTGAATGTGTCTACTGTAGTCCACCTCTCCCCTGTCAGGGAACCCCAAGAAGGCCTTGACGTAGAGGATGAAGGGTAAAAGCCTTCTGGGAAGGAGGCAGGTACCAGGATGGGAGTCTCTTTCTGTGTGATTTCTCCTCCACTCTTCTTAGCGGCTGACTTTAGACAGACAGGGTCAGAAGAATTGCTGTGACAGGGCAGGAGGAGCCCAGATACAGGACCAAGTAGACTCACACATCTGTTCTTTGGGGGGTCCTGAGATACCAGGAGGTGACATCTTGAGTACTTTGTGGTAGAGCCACATCTCTCACCTTGTCCAAGACACCATGGACTTGGCAGTTGTTCTTCACTGCCACATCATAGAGCTGATGCTGTGCTGTGAGCTGCAGTAGGAGATCCAGAGAGAAGCTACCACACTCCAGCCTTTGAAAGGACAGAGGCTCCCACCAGACCTCCTGGACCCCTACCCTACTTTGTCTTATTTTAGCTGGGGGATCTTGAGGAAGTCAGTTAACATTGTTGCACCCAAAGTCCGATGTGCCCAGAGACCAATCTGAATACAAAAGCAAAGAGTCTTTTTAATTCATGAGTTCAAGCCCAGGTTCCTCCCTTGTACCTCCATCACAGCAGTGGAGTGAGAGGGACCTTAAGCTGTTACAGGATAGGATTTTTATAGTGATTAGGGTCGGGGGTCTAGGAGAATTCCAACTCTGTATAGTCACAAGCTCAGGATTGGTGCCTACTTCAGGTTGGAGATGCTTGGTTTGAACAGATTGGAGCGTTGCAGCTGCAAGGAAATTGCCATACTCTCCAGCAGTTTATGTCATGCGTCTATGTCATTTGCAGACCCACTTTCTCTGACCATTAGACATTCCATTTCTTATCTGCAGGAAACTTGCTCCCTCTGACCTCTATGGTATATAATCTATCACATCCTTTAGTTTATGATAGGAAATGTCTGGAACTTGTTTTTATGTGGCTCTTAATTGTCTGGGTCTAGGGGCAGCACATCATCTGATGAGTTTCCTAGGGCCTGCTGCACCCAGCCTAATCTTCTGGTGGGTTTCCCAGGGCCTGCTGCCCCCTATCTGACCCTTCTCTGAGATGGCTGCAACCCTGTCATCCTCTCAAACATCTGTGTTTTCTCTTTGTCTATAGAGTCAGAAGACAAGATTCCCTTTGTTTTGGGATCTCATGGGGGTGGAGAAATAGGGAGCTTCCACCATTAAAATGTCTCTGACGCAACCGGACACCAGGATTCTCTCCTCTTACTGAGAGGAGGGAGATTCAGTTGACAAAAATGCCTCCACATGATGAGGCTGTAGGCAAGCCTGTAGGGCATTTTCATCATTAGTGATTCATGTGGGAGGGCACAGCCCATTGTGGGTGGTGCCATCTCTATGTTGTATAAGAAAGCAGGCTCAGCAAGTCATGAGAGCAAACCAGTGAACCACACCCTTTCATGGCCCCTGCATCAGCCTTTGTCTCCATGTTCCTGCCCTGTTTAAGTCCCTGTCCTGATTTCCATTGGGTGATAAAGAGTGTTATGGAAGCATAAACCAAATAAACACTTTCCTCCCCAAGTTATTTTTACTTATGGTGCATCTTCACATCAATAGTAATCATTACTAAGATTCTCTAGGTTATTTATTTCTTTGTTTGCTTGTTTGGAGACAAGGTGTCTAGGTTATTTGTAAGGAAGTTAAAATAGTAAAACATGAGTTTTGGAGTGAAGGAAATTTAAGGTTTATGTATTTTGGCATTTTGTTTTATGTAACAAAGGAAACACCTGAGTATGGAAGGGAAGTGTGACATGTTTTATAAGGATTTGTGAGGATATATATAAACTAGGAAAATGTGTGCAGAAGAAGACAGAGGTAGTTTTTTGTTTTTCTTTTCTTTTTTTTGGTTTGTTTGTTTGTTTCTCTAAAGATAACGATGGTCCCAAATTACAAAAGAGAGATAAGACCCAGAATGAAGGAAACAGTTGGACTAGTAGTCAATGGATGGAGAAAGCTGCAAAGGAATTTCAGAAAGGCACAGGACTTCTTCATCAGTTTACCTCTACATTATAATCACTTCCTGCTATGAACTTCACTCTCCCCTAGTCTTAAATAAAAAGAAACTACAAAGCTGAGTGGGAACTTTCAAATGAGGCAGGTTCCCACTGCTCAGGTCTCTAGTTTAATAATCTTTTGCCAGTGTTGCACAATATTGCCATGTCCAGACCATTTAAGACACAAAGCCTTTCAGCAAGGAGAAAACTGATCTGCAATGTCTAAATAGGAGAGCAGCATGAAGGCCCAGGGCCTGCCCATGACCGTGTTCTCTAGTTCTGGGTCATCCAGAATCCACTTTTTCCAACTATACAGTGCCTTTTAGGCTGTCTCAACTGTGATTACTCCTGCTGAGGCTCTTCACAGATACACCTGTTTCTTACTTGGTGACAAGGAAGCCCTCCCCATGACCAGTATGTGTTCACTGCATTCACCAGCCTCCAGGCCACTTACTGGATAATTCCTCCCTGTGTTTTGGAGTGAAGGACCTGAACAAGGCCCTGATCTCCTGCAGCTCTTTCTCCTGAGCCAACAAGCGGATGATCCTCTGGCCCAGAAACCCTCCTGCTCCTGTCACCAGACAGCTCCACCCCGGCATGGTCAACACAGGAAGCAGATCTCAGTGGCCTCAGGTGTGATGCAACGTCACCCTGGGGAGGGATAGAAAGAGAAGTGCAATGGGTACAGAGTCATGGGTTTCTTACTATAATGACATAGTAGAAAACGATGTCCCCAAGTGGTTCTTGAACATTTCTCTCATAACATCGCTTCCATGATTCTAAAATATCTGGGTTTTCTTCAACAAACAAGCAACAGTTCAGTTCTGCAGCAGACACCAGATGTACAACCTCTAAGTCAGGTCAGCTCTGACACTGAGACACTGTCAGACCTCACATGTCAGGCTGTGCCCCAAGGTTGTCCCTCTCACATGAGATGCCACTTCCAAGCCCCAGACTGTCTTACCTGTGCTTCTGAGAAAGCGTGCACACCCTGGGGTCCTACAACCCCTCACTGCATGTGGTTAGTTCCTGCAGCTCCTCTCGGACTTCAGGGACTAAAGCTTACATCCATTAGCTTCTGTGGCATGAATCTTAAAAGATCTTATAAATAAAAACAAACCTGGAGCCAGGTATTGGGGTGAATGCTGAAAGATCAGAGAAGCAGAACAAGCCACAGCTAACCTCTCCTCCCCAACTTCTCAGCTGATCCTGTTTCTTCAAACTAGAAGCCTCTGAGTCCTCATCTCAATGTATCTCAGCTGAACTGCTGCTGAAAGCTAAAAGCTTAAAAGAATAAAAAGAAATCTAGTTCCAGGTCCTCATGCCTTCTATACCTTTCTGCTTCCTGCCTACACTTCCTGGGATTAAAGGCATGTATCACCATTCCTGGCTGTTTCCAGTATGGCTTTGAACTCATAGAGATCCAGATAGATTTCTGCCTCTGGAATTCTAGGATTAAAGGTGTGTGTGCCACCATTTTCTGGCCTTTATGTCTGTCTAGAGGCTGTTCTGATATCTGACCCTAGACAAGTTCATTAGGGTGCACTATATATTGGGCGGATACAATATCACGACAAGCTTCCTATGAAGGATACTACAAAGGATATGGAAGAAGCAGAGCACAGGCTGAGGAATCAGAAAGGGGAACAAGGCTTCTACATTCTTGTTTGATGTACTACCTCCAAGAATGTCTAACTGTTCAGCTACCCAGAATCTTAGGAGGCTGGGCCTTTCTGCATCAATTGTTAATCAAGACAATGCCCCTCAGGTCAGTCTGATGTAGGCAATCTTCAGTTGAGGCTTAGTCTTTTCAGATGACTCTAGGTTATTTTGTGTACAAACAAGGCTAATCAAACATCGCCAAAAGAGTATTTGCTCAGTGTGTTTTCTGTAATACTCCTTGTTATTGTTTTGATAAACTTCTCTTTGCCCCAATTCTTTGAGCAGCTCACACTTAACTGCAGAGCATGCATATGCTCATCTGAAAGACATGGCAGTACTTATTGGAATAAGTGGATTCTGATAATTTGTTTGTTGGTTTGTTTGTTTAGATTGACATCAGTAGGCGAGCAAATCACCTTAAGGTAAAATCTCTCTAAGACTTGTCCAATCTATAGCCCATAGGCTCATGTGGCCATGGAGGTCTATAAATGCAGCCAACAGAAAGCTAAGAATTTAATTTGAACATTACGTAAAGTTCATTCCATTTTTTGACTCCATTATGGTGTGACTGTGAATTTTTTAGGTGACCAATCTGGTTGCAGTTTCCAAAGTTTGAACATATCTGCCTGGAAGGGGCTCACAGCCTTTCTAGTGGTTAAGGTCCATACAGAGCCCAGTGTAGGTCCCACATGGTGTTATTTTACAGAGCCTTTCTCTATAAGCAAAACAGCATTTACTCTAGACACCGTGAACACATATGTTGTGTTTGTTCACACTTTGAATGCCTACTTCATATTATCTGAAAGTTATGTAGACATGCCTTTGTACTCACTTATGTTTCTAGAACAAGAAGTAGAAGAAAGGCAACTATTATACAAGAAGCCCCTTGAAGGATGACTGTGAACTTTTATCTTCATTCCAGCCACCCTCACCTTCCCTACTAAAGCTTTTCTTGAGACTCTATCAGTACCTTGGTTTGACAGTACCTCATAGTATAGTATGCTCCAAGCTGACATATACTCCTTCCATCAAACATGTAGGTACAGGTGACACAGCTTGCTTGTTTTCAGTCTGCGTGCACATTTCAGTTTCCATAACCCTTTTTTAATACCTTTGTATACCTTTGTTTTCTTTTGGAGCCAAGACTTCAAGTACTGTTTTGAAAAGTATGGAGAGAGTATACAACCTTTTCTTGTTCCTGATGTTAGTGGAAATGCTTTGAGTTTCTCTTCATTTAAGTTGATTTTGGCTATCTGTTTGCTGTATATTGCCCTTATTCTGTTGAGTTATGTATGTTCTTTGTATTCCTGATCTCTCTAGTACTTTTATCATGAAGGGCTGCTGGGTTCTGTCAAAGGAGTTTTCTACATCTAATGGGATGATCCTGTGGTGTTTGGCTTTCATTTTGTTTATGTGGTGGATTACATTTATTGACTTACATGTGTTAAACCATCCCTGCATCTCTGAGATGAAGCCTACTTAATCATGGTGGATGATCTTTTTGATGTGCCCTTGGATTCAGTTTGCAAGTATTTTACTCATAAAGGAAACTGTACTGTAACTATTTTTTGCAGGTATTTAGGTTGCTTGGGTATCAAAGTAGCTATAACCTTGTAAAACAAATTGGTTGGAGTTTTCCTTCTAGCCCATTCTGCAGGGCTGGCTTTGTAGCAGGTATTGGTTAAATATGGTTTTATCATGGAGTATCTTGTTTTCTTCATCTATGGTGATTGAAAGTTTTGCTGGGTATGATAGCATTGGCTGGCTTCTATGGCCTCTTAGAGTCTGATGTACATCTCTCTGGGCTCATCTGGCTTTTAGGGTCCCATTGAGAAGTCAGGTGTCATTCTGATAGGCATTCTTTTATATGTTACTTGGTCTTTCCCCCTTGCAGCTTTCAACATTCCCCATTTGTTCTGTGTGTTTGGTGTTTTGATTACTATGTGTCATGGCACTTTCTTCTCTGGTCCAGTCTATTTGGTGTTCTATATGTTTCTTGTATTTTGAAAGCAGTCTCATTCTTTAGGTTATGAAACTTTCTTCTATAATTTTGTTGAAAATATTTTGCATGTCTTTGACCTGGATTCTTCTCCTTCATCTATTCCTATTATTCTTAGATTTATTCTTTCTATAGTGTCCCGAGTTTCCTGGGTTTTTGTGTCAGGACATTTTTAGATTTAACATTTTCTTTGACCAAGATATCAAGTTTTTCTATATTGTCTTCAATTCTGAAATTCTCCCTTCCATCTCTTCTATTCTGTTAGTGTGGCATGCCTCTGAGGTTCCTGTTTGAGTTACTAAATTTTTCCTTTCCATATTTCTTTCAGTTTGCGTTTTTGTTTTCTTCTTTTTTTCTTTTAAAAGTTGATTCTATTTCCATTTGCAGGTCTTGAACTGTTTTGCTCACTTCCTTCCACTGTTTGTGTTTTCATAGATTTCTTTAAGGGATTTATTTATTTCCTCTTTAATGACTCCTATCATATTCATAAAGGGCATTTTACAGTCTTTTCCTTATGCTTCCATTACATCCCAATACTCAGGGTTGCTGGGATCCACGGGAGACATTTTGTCCTGACTGTTATAGATTGTGTTATTACACTGGTATCTAGGTATCCTGGTTTGTGACAAATGTAATTCTAGGTGCTCATATCTGGTCTTGTCTTTGTTGGTTGTATTTTGTTGCTCAGTTTCTGTTGCCCTCTCTGTTTCTTAGTGAAGTGTGGCTTCTGTGTGTTGCCAGATAGGAAATCTTTTGGGATCCTGGTAGGTGTGGCTTCTAAGGATTTCCTGTAAAATGTGTTTCTAGGTATTGAGAACTGACACTTAGGAATGGGGATGGGGTATGAGTTGGGTGCTGCGGCCATCCACAGGATGTAGGAAATCAGCTTCTTCCATCAGGATCTGCTTTGTCCCCTGAGAGTCAAAGCAGAACATAAAGAGAGGCCACTATGGGTAGCCTGCTGCAGAGCTGGGGATGAAACTGGGAGATTGGATCTGGAGGAGAGGATGGAAAGTGAAACCTGAAGATTACATACCTGCTTTGATGTCCTAATGATTCTCTGGTAGGGGCTGGTTTGACTGGCTGGATACTAGGAAATTCCAATGGTGTTGGGGACTGAGATAAAGCAATGAGTTGGGGAAACAAAGTTTGGAGGGGTAGATCTGTGTGATGGACTGGAGATGGGGACAAAGTGGATGAGGAGGCTGCAAGGTTGTGTGCTATGGAGATGGGGGTAAGACATGGGGGATTCAATTTGGAGGAGAGGAAGGAGTGGTAAAGTTCTTTTGTTAGCCTTCCTGCCTGCTTGGCTGGAGTGACCTCAGGTTCCTGCTGGAATTGTGGCCCAGGATAAAGTGAAGAGTAGGGAAGGACTTTGGAGGAACACCTGCAATTAGTCTACCTGCTTCCCTGGTCTGAGTCCCATTTTAACTTTTTTATTTTTGTGTGTATCTATGCCAGGGATTTCTCTCATCCTTCAGAGGTTTGTGTGTAAAATATTGTACTCTGGCTGGTGATTAATCTAAATGACTTTGGACTTTCATCAGGCATATTTGTGTGTATGTATGCACATGTGTGTGTGTGTGTGTGTGTGTGTGTGTGTGTGTGTGTGTGTGTGTATGTGTGTGTGTGTATGTGTGTGTGTGCTTATATCCTGACTGTTAACCCAAGCTGGCCTCATTTTTATATAAGGATTACAAGCAAGGGTCATTGGACACCCTTCTATCTGTATTTTGTTCTTCAGCCTGGCTGTTGCCCCAGGCTATCTCACACATCAGATCTTTCATTGAAATAATGACTTTTTGACTCTGGAGTTTCTCTCAACTGGAATAAATGCAATTTGTTTGTTTGGAGACTATGCATGTTGAATAACCAGCAGAAAGAGAGAGAGAGAGAGTGAGAGAGAGAGACAGATTGAGAGAGACAGAGAGACACAGACAGAGACAAAGGAGTCCATTTATCTACCCCTTTAT